GGTCCGACTGGAAATTACCATTCATACTATGGATGCTGGAGTAGGCACGTTCCTCTAGGTTTTCCTACCAATATGACCAATAGGACAACTTTGATGCAACGAAAGGAGACTGCAACCTTAAAAAAGATCACACAATCTTGGTCTTCATACTTTCGATTATAAAATAGAAGTAAGATTGCCAAACAATCCACTGATTACAGCCGGACAAAGAATACAATTTTATAGAAGTTGTTTGACCTTGTTTTCGCAACTTGGTCATATTGGTAGGTAGACTTAGAGGAACGCACCGAGTCCGGAGTCCATTGTATGCATGATCATTTCCAGAGTAGGACCGTGGACGTGATACATTCCCAAACGTTGCGCCGGCATCGCCAGTGAGTCTTGCCATTCTTATCACCACACAACAACTCGTCAAAGAGACTTGGCATATGAAGCCATGGATTTGTCACTATGGCTAGAAGAACGATAGATGCGGCGGAGACTAGAGCAAGTTGGCTAACAGTTGAGGTGTTTGATCCTAGACGTGATCCATTAAGCAATTGCATGACCATGATAATTACTCTGCGTCTTTAATCTCAAGTTAGTATACCATCGAGATTGAGAATCCTGATTTTTAGGGGCCTACTCAGAGAGGCTTGCGACAATGTGTGAAATAACACTTCGAGTAGTACAAGAGTAGTACATGGTGGCAGGGGTCTAGTTAAATAGCTGAAACAGAAAACTAGTAGGCGGATCCTACGGGGAGAGAGGAAGACACTTGGGGTGTGGATTGTTATAATGAAATCCGCCCAAAAGGTCACAACATACTACATTTAAATAAGCAATTAAGAAATTGTGATAGTGAACGGGTGATGCGAGGATATAGGATTGGTGATTAGCCCAGGGCAGTAGGAAAGATATCACGATTGTTTGCAGACAATTGGTCAAAGGATTGGCTTAACTTGTCTCTTTGACGAGTCGTAGTGTGTTGCTAAGGCTGGCAATGCTTACTGACGATGCCGAATACGATGCCGGCGAAACCTCTGGGAATGTACCCCGTACACTGTCTGACTCTTGAAATTATCATGCATACTATGGACTCCCGACTTGGTTCGATCCTTTAGATCTTCCTACCAATAAGATCAATTTGCGAAGAAAAGGTCAAACCACATCCATAGTAAACATAATTGTGTAGAAATGAACCGATTAAGGTATAACTAGGTTTTGCGACTATCATTGTTTCTTGAGGTAGTATTTAGTCAGCCTAGATTTGGTTCGATTTCGTGTTTTCAGGGCGACCCAGATAAGCGCACACTGTCCGAACTTTTGTGATGCTAGTTCTGATGATTCCAGGAATAGCGCCGTGGTCTGAGAAAAGGCCTCAGCTTGTCTATCGTTGACAGAATGGTATCCCTCTGAAAATTTGTTTTAAGACAAAGCAATATTATGCTCAATAAGGCCCAAGGGGTAATTATTTTCCAGGAATACATTTGTCATCCGTTCCAACTCTTTAGTCAAATGAATGCTGTCCGCTAATCTTATACTCCTAATAATCATTGACTTCGAAATTCCAACACTAGTTTTGTAATTGCGGTTGAAAAGAAAATTAAGCAAACAGACAGCATATTTTGGCTTCCTATAAACATCTCTTCCTAACTTAC